CCATCCATCCATCCATCCATCCATCCATCCATCCATCCATCCATCCATCCATCCATCCATCCATCCATCCATCCATCCATCCATCCATCCATCCATCCATCCATCCATCCATCCATCCATCCATCCATCCATCCATCCATCCATCCATCCATCCATCCATCCATCCATTTATACTCTTAGCATTTTTATAAATAGACCAAATGTTTGATTTCAATTAAAAACAGTAAGGTGCTAACATTTAAAACTTTATTAGAGCAATAGTAAAAGTTGCAGCTGAAACATTTCTGGGTGTAAATTTTCTTCCAAAAAAGTGGCCTATACTCAACCTCCCAGTCCTTTGAAGCTCAGGGCCGGCATGGTGGTCATCCTCTTTTTCCTGCTCTCCAGCTGAAGCTGCGGTGCCATTAGGCTGAGATGGTCTCTTTCTCTTCGACTAAAGGTCAAAAGACATGTAAGTAAACATGCTACAGTGCCAGTCACTTCAGTTTCTTTGTTCCCATTCAAGTTAATAATGGTGTGGGAGTGAGGAGATGTGGCTCTGAAAGTCTGAAAGAATACACAAGTAAATTTAAGTGTGCAAAAACTTTAAGTTCAAAGGTTGGGAAAACTGGTAATGAAGTATTCAGTGGTAAACCTATTGATAAGTAGCAGCAATACTAATCTCTGTTTAATCATCGTTAAGGAAGTGTCTGCTGTATATTCACTTGTCTAAAACTCAATATTTAACAAACCAAAACAAAGACATATCATTATACAGTATTATTCACGAAGTAATCCTGACTAAAACCTCAAGAAAGAGAGATGCTAACCTGAGACGGGACATTTTTTGGAGGCTCAATTCGGATCGTGGGGTCCCATTCTCCAGGGGGCAGGACAGTCACCTGGTCAAGGAACTCGTCTATCCCAGATAGTAGATCTGTTCGGTCTTTGGCTTTGTAAGCAACATCATGAAAAATCTAGACATGAAATAAAGACCCAAACTTAGGTTTGTGCTGTACAGTAAGTAACTTCTATTGCTAAGGAGCAAACCAAATGATGCAGGCGTCTTTGTTTTAGGTAAGTTTTTAAGTGGTGCAAAATGACAAAAGTAGGACATTAAGAATCCGTCATTCCTCACCTCATCTGTCATTAGTGTTGCCATGGATCTGCCAATTTCATGGTACTGTGCTCCTTTACCATGAGGGCCCAAAAGGAGGAAAAGAAACCTTTGCACAAGACATATTCATTAACAGACTGACATCAATGCACTTATACCAGAAATATTTTTAATGACTTGATGTTATTGTTTTTTTTTTTTTTATGAAAACCAGAGAGCATCTTTCAACTCCTCCAAAAACACGTTGCACGTTTGGCAATGGCACTTTAAAAACAAAAATTTGTCTATCTATTATTTAAAACCTTTAATTTCCTTTTTTTGTCATGCAATCAACGTTTTAGCATCACATGACAATTGGTGTTGCCACGCACCATACACCACGTAGTGTGATTTCTCACGTTTGTTTAATTTAAGTAAAGGAAATACGGCAATGGAAAGAAAAAAAAAAATACCAGAACATCTGTAAATCCCCAGGCTATATTACTCAAATGCAATCATAACTTTTGCAAATTACTTTGCCAGTTGGCTTCCAGAGTGTAATAACTTAAGTGACTTTTACTGGACGTCTAATTTTAAAAGTAAAGTCATGCAATTAGAGATTATCGTACCTTGTGGGAACAGGCACCTCAGTGAGGCCTGTGATAAGGACTGCCGGAGACAATCGCACAAACACAATTATGGGCTTCTCCAAAAAGTCCACTTCTCCCACAAGCACGTTAGACGCTTCAGCTCCTGGAGGAATCTTCCTCATAAAATTCATGTCCACCTGAAAGTCATGAAATTGTAGAAGCATATAAACAATCAAAAACAAAACAATTGTAGAGAAAAAGGAAGTTGTGGCAGAGAATGAAGCAGACCAATACATGCAGAAGCACACCCATGCAAAAGAATGAGAAACTACAGTAAAACAGGGATCGGCAGCAAACATTAGGAATTTTAGTAGAGATACATACAACTAAATAGTACTGAGCAAAGATAGTCCACTGTTGTGAACCATATCTTATGTTCTCCAAGTAAATATTCATTCAACCTTTATTTATACAGATTGGTCTCATTGAGCCTCGAGGACTCCTTTACAAGAGACCCGTTTTTAACAAATGTTTGATGCATGTTACTAAATACAGATCTAAGCATGGCAGCAATCCCAGTGTAGGAACAAACATGCCTTCAGCCCTCTGTCTTCCATGACTCATTTACACAGTGCACCTTAGGTTTTGGCAGGTACAACGAGTGGTATTATAACAGCAACTTATGGCAGCCTGCCATCTTAACACTAAAAAGATAAGGGGATGAATGGAAGTCATGCAACAGAGGTGGATTTTTAAAACTAAGCCTTTTTATAGCATCTTATTTAATATTCTTTGCCCATTAAAAGACAAAGATCACAGATGTATTTTACACAGCTGAGAAGAAAAGAGGCAGTGAGTATATAGGTGGTTTTTCTACGCAAGCCACTGAAATGTCTGTGAAAGCCCAGAAACTGAAGAAAAACACAGATGAAGTTGATCTTGGGCCATTCCACTGTGAAGGACTGTGTCTGTGCTCAGTACTATAGTAAGGTTACCTTGCTGAAGTCCACACTGCTGCTTTCTCTACTGACCCCTACTTTGGATGGTCTCCTTTCCACGGCCTTGTTGCTGTCCAGATTGTTTGGGAGTGAATGCGGAGACACCAGTGGTCCTGGGAGGTGCAGGAAAACGCAGATGGTAAGTGTTGAGCATTGATTTGAACAAAACAGCTCTCCGGTTCACCAGAAATATATTGTTTTACTATCATAATTACAAGCTATTTGTTTGCTTTCACTTTTATTTACCAAAATATTATTTTAATTAGGTAAAAAGTCATTTAAAAATGTTTGTACCAACATTAAGTAGGATGAGCTTAACACATAGGAGACAATTTCATAAACATTTCTGGTCCCTTTAACCATAAATTAACTGCTTCAATAAACTTAGTCACATGTTCGCATTACCTGAAAGGCTTGGGATATATTTGTATTCATTTTTACTTTATGGTTTCGATTTATCAATTAACAATATTTTGCAAAATGTAAAAGTTTATAACAAATATTTATTTACATTTTACAAGAATAAGAATTTCTGGAACTGCAGGCTGACCTTTGTCACATTCAGTACAATCTTTTCTTACCAGATTAAAAAAACAAAACACTCATGAGTTTGTACTGAAATTAATATCCTAATCTTTGGTTGGAATACTAATACGTCCCTAAACAGGGAAGATGATATTTTCACTAATATTCCTGATTGCTACCCATGTGTTGAGCACATGCTTTTTCACTTATATTAATCTTACTTAGATTGAATTAATCTCAGCTTTGAGTCAAAGATGAGGGGGATGCATTTAATACTGCAGACAGTTCAGAGTTCAGCACCTACATCTCTGCACAGCTTTCTGCGTATTTCAGCAGTTTTGATCTGAGTCATACAAGACACAGGAAACGCTAGCACTTGAGGTGGCATGTGAAAAGGAGATGAAATGAGAGAGTAATGCATCTGAATCAAAGAATAGCATAAGCCTACTATCCTCTGAGTATTTGTGGTAACATTTCTTTTACCAGGTTCCCTTTTATTTTACATTTTCTCATTAGTGCACTGAGCTCTGACAAGCAAATATATGCTAGGGGAAAAATGCATGGTGCCACGTACGTCATCTATAAATTAGCAAATATGAAAAATGTGCCATTGTAGCCAGCAAACCGTTTGGCCACTGACCTCTTAATTACAGCCTGGAGTAACCCCAGTGGCTGCTGGGAAAGTGACTGATGAACAGGAGCATGATTGCTCACATACCTGACAAAGCCTTTAGGAATATGAGTGGGATTAACTTGGGCTGTGTCTGCTAAAATGATTACAATCAGGAGGTCTAAGTCCGGGAACGCTCCACCAAACCAGCCTTTCAAATAGTAGCATCACTGTACGACCTCCCTCTGACACAAAGGAGTACCGGTAACTAAAAATACACAGACTGTCAGACGTTTACAAGAAAGCAGCAATGAGTATTCAGTAAAAGATCAACAGAATGTAATCATCGATAGTGTATTCTAGTATTGTTCAGGTCTTTGTACATTTTACAGCAAAAAGACAGCGCAAGTCAAATACATGCAGCTGTTAACATGAAAAGCACAACAAACGATGTAATAATTTAAAATGGCCTCTTTTTTATGAAACTGGTAGTTCAGTTGAAGGTCAAATAACTGCTTAAGGCTTGAGAAGCACTTATTCTACGTAGGACGTATTTAATATTTTACACTTGATAATTTTGCCACTACATCAAAAGCAACCTAAATAAAATGCATATTTTCATGTTTAAGCACACACAAAGTGTCAGACTCCATCTGTGTTATCTGGCACATTAGCAACATATCTTTTAATGCTCTCTAACTTGGTCTTATATCTACTTTTCAGCATCATAGACACTTAACTGTAGTAAGATGAGGAATATAAAGGCTAATCAAAACATTTTCAAGTTCTTTAAACTACTAAAGTGAATTCTGCAGGAGGCCAAGGTGATTTATCATTTAGAAAAAGACAGATATCATCAGGGTATACAGCTTCATGAAGTAGTGTTGCTGTTAGAATGTGACAAAAGTGGCAAAGTAATACGGACACGAATGCCAGGAACATAGAGGGCATCATATGTTAGTGGGTTGAATGCTGTTGGTGATCACAGGGGCGGAAATTCTGTTTCATTTTTGGGGGAGGGAGCTTTAATAACAGCTTTTGGGGGGAGGAGGGGTAGATTAAATAAAACAATATATAATGAGACTTCCTGTCAGGGAGTTGAACTGTGATCTTTCATGTGACAGAATTACTCACCACTATACTAACAAGAAGCTGTCACAAGTGAGCGCTTACTGGAAGCTATTTGTTTAGGCCGCTTCAGTCCTCAGGCTGCTTGGTTCTGTGTTGCCTTAAGCGAGTGCACAATGGACTAAACCACCATTAGGCTGACTGGGGGGAGGAGCCATATGTTTTTGAAGGGAAGTCTGAGATTGTCATCATTGTATGTTCCCATACAACGATGAAAGTAGTTCTCTGCATTTAACCCATCACACCTGGGATACACCCAGGTGGAGCAGTGGACAGCTATGCACCCGGGGAGCAATTGAAGGCATGAATGCATTATTTTGCCTATTTAAACAGTAGATACGCTTTTGTTTTTATAATGCTTAAAAGTATACTTCCCGAAATGATTAATTGGGGGAGATTATTGTTTTTCCAAAATTGGGAATCAACAGCACCCCTGTGAATTTCCACCTATGAGTGATCAGTGTGGGTCATGATTTTTGATCAACTAGACATCATAAAATATACTCTGACTTCTTGATAATAAACATTGGAATCCTCAGAGCAAGTGCTACTGCCATCCAAATAGAAACTAATATAGTAACAGCAGTTTATACACTATTCACAGCTTTTACAACCTTAAATTGACACCAAGACGCATCGTTAACTGTAATATGAATGTAAAGGCTAAATGAGGCTAAAGAAATTCCACTCTAATGTTAAGATTCTTGCCTCCTGATAACATGTATTTCTCCATGAACAGAGTACAATTACAAAAACTTCTCAGCTATAAAAAGGCCACCCCCAACCTTTCAGCTCCCCTCCACGTGAACTCTGGTTATTAATGACCCACACTTTGAAATAGATCCTTTCCTAGAATGAAACAAACACAAATATACATATATGCAGGCGCTCAGAAGCTAATAATAAACTGGCACAGCCTGGTTTCAGAAGCACAAAACGTCACTGTGGGTGTGAATATGATAGTACATCAAGTACAAACACACCATGACTAGTCAGGGAATAATTTTGGCCCTATCGTTGGCATGTATTGCTTTCACAACACTCATAATCGGGTAAAAGAACGTTTATTCTTAAGAATCGATGAGGAGGATGTGAATGGGCTCCAAATATGTCCATGGGAAAAAAACAAAACAACTGCATGACACTTATATTATGTGAAATCATAATGGAGGGTTAAAGCATTAAAATATTAAGGATGTATTGAGCCAGTCTATACATCATACACACACAAAAATACAACAAAACTAGATGTCCAAAGGCAAATTAAGGGTACCTACACACCATAACCTGTTCAAAAATTCATACGAATTTTCGGACTCATCAAGTTCTATACTCTTCCATACTTTTGAAGACAACAAAGGAATTCTGCAATTCGTATCAAAAATACAATCCGCATTCACTGAATGGAAAGTATAGAACAGTAGAGAACAGCAGAACAGCAAAACAATAAAATAGGTCTAAAAATACCTGACCGAAATATTTTATTTGACCACAGCAAAATTACTGTCACTGTTAAAAACCTATTGTAATAGAGCAGTAACAGTTGAATTCTTACTGATAAATATGTCTAGTAAATACTATTGGGATTGGCTTTTAATTTTTTGAACTGGAGTTGTCAAAAATTATTTAGATACTGATACTAAGAAGAAAATAGATACTCACTGCAACAGTATCAATACCAAAAGTGTGGTCAATGTCTCCTCCATTTAAAACACAACTTCCTACCCTCATTAGCAGCTGAACCGTAACAAATTAATGGTCACAACTTTGAGATGGACACTTTTTCAGAGAAAAATTAACTTAGGATTGATTTTTGTTATCTTTTATGTTAGGACTTCAGGCTTCAAAGCATGTAGCTGCTATAGAACCACCAATGCTGCTAGCTAAAAAAAAAAAGTTATTCTAGTAATGTGTTTAATTATTTTCTTACAACATTCATTGAGCATCAAGTAATTTTTGTTATTGGTATTGGAATCTAAATTTTACTATGATGTCAAGTAGGGATGCACGATATTGGATTTTTGGCCGATATCCGATATGTTAAAACTTATTTGGCCGATAACCGATACCAATATTTTTGTGTTACAGAAAAGAGCTATAAGAATTATAACTAGAAAACATTACTGTCATCCTACAACTACTTTATTTTATAAATTGAAATTACTTAAGTTTTATGATCTGGTGGATTATAATATTCTCCTACTCATGTATAAAGCTCAGAATTATATACTACCCTCGAACATTCAAGCATATTTTGTGAAAAGGAAAAGTTGTTATAATCTAAAGGGAACAGATATTTTTGTGAAACCAAAGTATAGGACTAGTTTAAGGGGTAGGTCTACTTCAATACAGGGAATAGGTTTTTGGAATAGATTGGATGATGATGTAAAAAAATCAAAGTCAATGTTTATATTTAAGAAAAAGATTAAGAACATATTGTTGAATAGATACATGTAGATTTAAGTTAGTTAATATCAAACGAAATATAAATGGAAAAATTGTGAACAGTTATGTAATTTTGTTTTATTTATAGATGATTATTGATTGAATTGATTGTTTGAATTGATTTTGTTTAAGAAGGTGCAGAAATAATAAGATTTTTTTTCTTCTTCTGCTGCCTTTCATTTTATGTTTTGTATTTTACTCTCTTGTTTTGAAATTGTTATTGTGTTTTTAATTTGAAATGAATAAATAAATTTAAAAAAAAATACAGATATTATTCCCCCTCAGCCTACTTACAGAGACTACATAGCTTCCTATGCTATGGAATTAAAATACTACATTATTCTGCATGGTCTTTGTCAATTTGACCTGCTACCAAATGCAGATGCCAAAACGGGGGATGAAAATGATGTAACACTTCAATTTGGATTATGTTTAATGTTAAATTTATTCATAACATTTACTCTCTAACACAATGACAACACTCGGTGCAAATTTGTAAATTTTTACAAATCTAAACTCAATGGTGCACGTGATGGCATAACGTTGTGCTGGTGCTGTGGGCATCTTTGTCACTGGGTTGTCATACAAAAACAGTGCCTTTATTTATATATATATACAAAGTGTATATA